ACCTCCAAGTAACTTACTAAAAGTAAATATTGATTTCAATTTGAAAACTGATTTGTCAACTTATTATTTTCAGTTCAATACCGTGTTTGCATTTACAGTGTGTATACTTTAAATTCCCATTCAGTCTTCAAATTCAATCAAATTTGTTGACAACACAACAGTGGTTGGTCTGATTAGAGATGAAGTTCATGGTGCTCTGCAAGTAACCTGTTGTTTAATACTTTTAAGACAAAAGAACTGATAGTTGATTTTAGGATTCGCCATCCTCTGGAGATGAGTGATGTTTATGTGGAATAGTGCACTCATTCCAATTTCTTGGGGTGTTCATATCTCACTATCTCTCCTGGTCGTCAAGAACTTAAAGAGTGTCAAAAAAGCACACCTGTGAGGATTTGGTTTTCCTGTGTATTTATTTAGGTTTCTGTGTTCAGGTTAGTCTCTGTGTTGTCCGTCTATCCACTAGTTTGATTGTCTCCAGCTGTCTCTTGTTTCCCCTTCATTACTCCCAGGTGTATTTAATCCCACCAGTCTGTGTTTCCCTGTCGGGTCCCTTGTCGGGTCACATCTCTTTGCATTATGCCAGTTGCTTCCATTGTGTGAGTCATTGCCTGTGCTGCCTGGTCTGGATCGTGTCTTCCATCATTAAACCATCGTTTCTCTCACTTCAGCCTGGGTCCACCATGTTTACCTCACCATCATCCAACAATTCATGACACCAGCATCTTGTAGATTCTAAGCAAAACCCACTTGAATCCACAGCTGATGAGGTCCTTCGACAGATCAACAGTGAAGAGTACTTATATTTTTCTCATAGAAAAAACGTCCCTAAATTTCATTTCCAACATCCTGTCCAAACATTGTATTGTCATCTGTTGAGATAAAAATCTGTTTTTTAGTTTATAGCCAAAAATATCAAATTAATGTTCCAATCTCTCAACATGAGATTAACAAGGAATTCAGTCAACACTATCCAAAGCTTAACTAGTAGTTATCATTTGGATTATTTTCATCAGTAATGTGAAATGGATTATTTTCACAGAGGTGAAAGAAGGAAGTCCTAAAAACATGTTTGATATGGGATTCAAATGGTACATGCTGATCAAGCATCACTCCGCAAACAAATTCAGCATGAAGGTAGAGGAACAGGAAGTGATTTGAATCAGTGTGCACCTGGTAGAAACGGGTAACAAACACAGCTCTCAGGAAGAAGGTATTTTTTGACAGTACTTTACAGTTGCTGCATTGGTAATTTCAATAAGTCAGAAGTTTTAAAAGGTCAGTTTTACAGAGCTAGATCTTAAAAGAATGCGCTTCAACAGATTAAATGCTATCTTTTCTCTGATGTCCAAAGGTCTGATAGATCTGAAGGGCGTTGTTTAGTGGTTGTGTGGGTGAGTCACTCCTAAAGGTGTGGCTTCATCTTCAGGCGGACAGGTTTGTTCGGTGCTTCGGTGATTTGTTTGGAAGGAGACAGGCCAGTGATTCAGGTGGGTTAAACTAAACCTTTTTTTAATAAGCATCTTATAGCAACTTATAGACCCTATCAGCAAACAGAGAACCGACCTGTGTTATTGTAATCCTACAGTGTACAGGTAAGAACTGCCTTTGAAATCCCAGCACTGAAATGTCACAGAGGCTGAAATATTTTTAATTTCTGGTCTCAAAGGATGAACTTTGAACACTTTAATTCATGTTATTTAATAATCTAAAAATGTCATTTGTTAGAGTTTTGCATTACACCCCTTTAGCTTTTATTCTAAAGTTCAGACATTGTATTTAGTAATTGTTTAAGCAGATATATTTAAATAACTTTAGCAAAGTTTTATTTTTGCCAGGAGAAATTA